CGAATCTCTTCTTGTTTTCCCCTCTCCATCTTCCTCTGAAAGTTGTAATACGAAATTCATTATCACTCTTTATCCCTTGCAACAGCGTTTTTTATGCTTATAAGCCACTCGCGATTTTCACATTGATGGAGATGTATTAAAAATACACCATTTGAAGTTACATCCTGGATCCTGCTGATGAGCCTCAAGAAATACATAATATTTTTCATGATTGGCAGGCCCAGCACGCACGCTCCAATTAAAATTCGACATCGGTGTCGTAAAAAGATACACATGTACATCCCGAGCCGCACTTCACGCGTAATAAAGCATCGAATTAACGGTGTCCAAAGACAGCTCAGCCTAGCATCTCTGACGATAAGCCGCGACAAGCTGACCAAAAATGAGGCTGTGACCTCTTTAGGCAGGTTCACTTTTAGAGTAAAAGTAACGCACTGAAGAGTGTCGATTCATTTTCCTCCGAAATTTGCTCTCTCATTTGGAAGGACGAAAAGACTAACTTTCGATCAATTAACTATCATTTATTTCGCTTTTCCGTTCAATTTTCCTGTCACAAGTATGCGTTTTCAAATAAATTTTCCTTACGTGAAGCGGTTTTAAGCCGTAAACGCTGAGAGTAAATGGTTCTGTCAATAGGAAGTTAGGTGAAGGTCGGTCAAATTAGATAAGTGAGAAGAACACGTTATGTTCTGTCATGTTAAAAAAGAAATAAGAATCAGAGATACTTATATGATCCTTAATCAAAGAGGTAAATAATTGAGCAATGAGTATGGAGTCCAAGATCTGGGCTCATAAGCAGGCAATCATAATATAGTGGGGCGATCGTAGAGTCCAAATTCTTTTACGCAGTTTTTCAGAATCATCTCGATTTGACACACCACCGCCCGGTGGTTAGATGCACGCGCCGTTTAGGCTGATGCTACGTGTTACCATCATTCATTAAAACCTCCCGACGGAATATAATGTATGATACGAAAGCACGCAATAACTGTCAGGCTGAAACGCAAGGCACTTGGCTGTCTCTGATCGCAAAAGCATAGCGCTTTGTGTGAACGTGGTTCGTTCCTTTACGCGCCGCTCAATCCGCTTTTTTCTTAAAATAAAACGCCAGAGCCCCCCCCCCCCCTTCTCCTCCCACTCACACACACACACCCTATCTTACACAAATTGAAGTGCTTGATTTCAAGATTTTCAATTTCTGAATCTAGTGGAACCTTAAAATCCAATTTTTCTGAGCTCAATTGATGAAATAATGATTTTGACAAATCTAAAGCTTGATACTTCCAATCCCCCCCCCCCCAAAAAAAAAGAGTTGTCTCCTAATCGTTCCTGATACGATTGGAAAGTGAGGATAAGTCATATTAGAGTTCGATACTAAAAGCGAGTTTTTTTTGTTTTTTTTTTTTTTTTTTTTTTTTTTTTTTTTTTTTTTTGTAACAACAGAAATGAAGGTTATGAAAGCAAGCCGGGGACTTTACCAGCTTCATTTCCTACGAATTTCACTTTAGAAAGGAAGTTATCATTGCCGTGTCGTCATTTCCGCGGTTCTTTCTCATTTCGAAAGATTTTATTTTATTTACGTGTTAGTTGGGGGCCTCTGGACGAAAGTCTAGTCTAAATAGTGTTCTCCAGACTTGGCATAGGCTTGTGGCATGATATTAAAATGATGGCAGAATAAAGAAAATTGTTACCTAAAAGAGCGTTTGCATGAGTCAAAGATTTGGGACTGGTCAACGACACCTATGTGTAGAATCTATCACTAAATAAGATGATTTCAGTGTTTTCTTCTTCTTTTTTTTCTCAAATCAATTCCCAAGATCAAGAAACACTCTCATAGGTACGGGTCGTAATGTAATACTTAAAAATGTTTTACTGTATAGTTAAGGAAGGTATAGAATCCTTGAACAGAGTTGCCGTTTTATGCAAGGATACTTAAAGTATTTCTATAAAATATTTCTCCACAAATAATTCAATATTCTTTCTAGGCAGTTTCCAACTGATTTCCAATGAAAATATGAGCTTGAGCTAGCTACATGGCTAATTTGAAGAGAGCTCCAATGGATTTGTAAGAAATTATTCGACCGCGCGATTAATAGGAGTTTCTTATAATTCAAATAAAAAAATGTCGAAAATGATGGGGTTGTCTCGATCTCAAAAATGCTCATCCATGACAGTTTTTGATATGTAATTGGGCCAAATATTTAATTTTAAGGAAAATAAAATGCATCTTCCATTATATCGCAAAATTTCACATTAAAATAGTTGGTTAAAAATTTTTTTCAATCCTTGCATTATTTATCAGTGGCGTGTCGACCGTGTCTTGCATTGAGATAAATCGATTGATCTGCAATTTTAACCTATGAAAAGGATAGATTATCCAGGTGTTTGTAACGAACATCCTGACAATTGATTATTTATCATAGCTTTAAGTGGAAAAATATCGATAATCGACTATACACGCTTTGCTACTGAGATTTACTTACGTGAGGCAAGGCAAATATCAACATGTTACATGGATTGATATTTTGAAATCATACAATGAATTCAGGGCATACTATCGCTTGTCATGACGAGGATATTAAAGTCATTGAATATGCAAGCAATTGCGATTCAATATACAACACCCTCAGCTCTAGCTACAGTATGTTTTAAATGAGTATTGGTGGTTGTTTTTCTTATCCTTGCGTTGAAGTCTCTCAGTGCATGGTATGCTTTCACCTGTGACTATCCGTTGTGAGAAAAAAATCTTACAAAATGACAATTCTGCAAAACGTTACCACTCTATTATAATTTTCAACATAAATATTTGTTAATGTCATTGCATCACCTGTCCTCTCCTTGAAACTTTGTCGACGCAACAATATTTTGATGACGAAACGTATCAGTCACTCATATCTATTACGGTGTCTTAAATTTACCTTTCTTGCTTTATTTTTTAATTGATGAATATCAATTTTATGGTATGGGAGCAAAGATATTTTTTTCTTATCGTCAACCATCGCTACACCCAATTTCACAATAGAGACTTTGCATGCACACTTTTATTGCTTCATCTGAAAGTGCTTGAAGAGCTGATTTCACAGTATTTTTTATGATTCTTTCTGATACGGGAAATAGTATAAAAATAGATTTAAAGTGAGAAAATGCACCGCCCAGTGACGTCATCTGTGGCATTTCCCATTTAAACACATGTATTTTAGCAGATAAGATCATTTTATCATATCTTCTCCAATAATTGTTTAATTCATGAACCAAGGGTATCCTCGCGTTCAGTTCACTCAGTAGTTCCCACTTAAACACGAAATTCATCAAATTTCAGACACCTGCAAATTCTCTATTGGAAAAACTGATAATTCTACATTCTTGAAATGAAATGAAGCGGAAGTCCACAACATCGCAAAATGAGATACGTGATATCTATAGTTTCACGGTTGATTTTTCCTCGAATGAATGATAGAATTTCTTTTCAGACAAAAAAAGGTGCAGAAAGTAAAATGGTCATATTTTCTTCTTTCCGCGTACATCAAATAAAAATGACGACCGATAAAAATACGCGACGAATTCCATTAATGTCAGTTTACACAACCTGGGAGGGAACAACATGCTCGTTGTAATCCTGGAGTAATACACAGCGCAAAAATGTAATCTAGATTCTGCTTTAAGCCATCACTCGAAATAGCGACTGCTGGCTGTCCGCAGTTCAATGTCTTGTAGAATTTTTATAGCCGCCGTAAATAATGAAGACCCTCTTCCAGGAAACAAGAAAATTTTATAGACGAGCTGCCATTCAGACATTCCTCGATGTCCACAGAAGCGTTTTATTAATTGTGAGTGATGAGCGGTAGTAACTTTGTTGATGATGTCGCGAGCCCACACGACCACACGTCTGTTAGCGCAGTGCAGAGGTGAGAACAAAATGAGAGTGCCGTTTTGTAAATAGATTTTGTTCCGTCAACTAGGCTAATTTCAGATGAAAATGGGTAAAAAAGGCAAGGTGCAGCTCTTCTGCAAATGATAGAATCGTGTATTTTCAGCCAGTGTGCATAAAAATAGTCAATGATGAACTTATTAGATTTAGCGTTGTGTGTGTCGCTTTATTTTGTAGTTATTTTTTTAAGTTTTTTTCTATTTTTCGATGTTTTTAGAGGTGCCGTATCAAAACAAATTACAGTGGAGTTTCGTATTATAATGCCTCAACTCAACCCATCCATACAAAAGGAGTCGATGCCTACGGAGGGTTTAACGTACAGGTAGGTTGTTTATACATAAATGCATCCAATCACGATAAATTTTGTATTTAAAAAGATCACTACGGACAGTTTTAGTGAAGCATACCTTCTTCAATGTTCAACAAGTTCTTGGAAAAAGACCATCCGAATATAGAGCTTTCATTCCAGAATGGAATCCCTTATTTGGATAAAATAAATGCATGCAATCATTGTAAGCTGAATATAATATTATCAAATTTTGGAGCTTTAAAGATGTCATAATTTTGGGTTTGAACCGGTGAAGTAGTCAGATTTCCAGTGAAAGAAGGGTGGTCAAAGGTTCCAAATGATTGAATATCATTAAAAAAAAAAAAAAATCTTGGGGAAAATGTTTGATTCCTAGGGGTTTGGGGTTTGATTCCCGGCGCCTCTTTGATAATATTTATGGCCTCGGTAATTTTTCAATTTTTTCTGCTCAAGCGGTAAAAAGGAGATTGACAATATAAGTTTTTGAAAAAGAATTGCAACTAAAGTCGAAATTTGTGGCTCAAGTATCTGAAATTCGGCAAGATATCGTCAAAAACTCACATGGTGTGTCGAGAGCTTTCGGAAAATATTACCGAATCGCGGCAACTGGAGCGGAGAATCTCAGCTCTAGTTGTCAAGTTTTTCGGAATGCGAATTTTACCGATACATTTTCCACCATGCACAGTTTTTAATACACTATTTTAGTTTTTTACGAGCAGATCGTTTCTCAATCACCAGACCGATTTGAATTAAGGTCATACACACCTTGATTAATTTCATAACTTTTCCAGGGGCGGTAAATCCAGGTAAAAACGTAGGAACACGGATAATTCACATGGAACAAATCACACTCCAAAACGGCTGAAATGGGGTAACCTCGACGACACTTACAGCAGCTTGTTCAGGGCCGCCATAGCACTTTTGCTGAAACTCTTCTGCGAACTGTAAAACACTTGGACGCACGTGCCCAACACATTTGGTTCGATAGTTAGCATCCCTCGCGAAAACGCACCGACTCACCGAACACGCGCTAGGAGAACGGGGCGCGTTTTAGCATGGCCTCCTCGGACAACGCGCGATGGGACGGAGAGAAGACTAGCGGGTCCGCGCGAGTGGGCAACTCGCGGTGATCGCGCCGGGACGAGGTGCGCCCAGGATGGTAGGGGAGAGCGCCGCACTCCCAAAAATAGCGAAGCGCGGGAATTGAGTTCTTGCGAGATCCGGAAAGCTCCGCAAGAATGGCAGACTTGTGATTTAGCAGCTGCACTGATGTGCTGAACTGCCGTACTAAGGAAGAACGCCGTATGAGCCTTCAGACTTTTATCGAAGTTTCCTTCGATAAAAACTGAATTTACTGCACTGAAAAAAAAATCTCGGTGTATTTACTGAGCAAATGGTAAAATTACCAAGAATTCAGGGTCCTATTTGATCCCAGTTTTTTCTTGGTAAAATTACCATTTATGGAATTGTAATTTTACCGAGACATCTCGGTAAAATTATTGAACTTTCTCGGTATTTTACTGGACCTTGGTAAAAACGCCAATATTTTTTATCGACTGTGGTAGAATTGCCGAGATAAAATGGGAAAGTTACCGGGAATTGATTATCAATAAAAGTGGTATTCTTACCTGAAAAAAAACAGTAAAAATACCGGTTTTTAGGTAAGCTTACCGGTCCGTCTTGGTGAAATTACCAATAATTGGTAAAAAAAAGTGAGATGGTAAAGGTAAAAGAGATGGATGGTTTGTTTCATAGAAAACCAGTGGCACCATCGTGTTTCCAGCAAAATTTTACAAATGCAATAGTACTTCAACTGAAAGGTGAACTTTCAATAGGTTTCAGTTAATTTAATTTAGTTCAATAAGTTTCAGTTTCAACGGAAATGGATTTCTGGCGGCGATCTGCCGGCATTTCGAGACGGGACCGTGTCCGTAATGAGAGAATTCGCCGCAGATGACGAAAGTTGGAAACGATATCTTGCACAACGTCATGTCCAAGCAGTTATGCTGGTATGGACATGTGCAGAGAATGTCGGAGGAGAGGTTGCCCAAACAAGTTTTGGATTGGGTACCACCTGGGAAGAGGCGACGGGAACTTCCCGTAAAGGGTTGGCGGCAGGGCGTCGACGAAGAGATGTAGCGGTGTCAGTTGCCCGATAATCTCTGGAAGGACAGGCATGTGTGGCGTTAGGGTGTCGCAGAACACTAGAGTGCGTTGTAGGAGCAACTTTATACCTATAATAATACTTCAATCCCAAATTCCTGGCACATGCAAGAGCTCCATCATATGATCCATTTCCTTCGCTTTTCAAGACTGTAAATTAGTAGCCACATGAAAAATAGTGTTTGATTTTATGAAAATCAAAGACTCCTACTGAACTTATCGGCTCGTATGACCATAATTTTACCCTCTAAGCGAGAGAGTGAGATCAACTGTTCTAAGGACATGGGTTAAAGTTTTACGCAAGTAGTATGGAAGGATGGTAAAGAGGACGCTGCAAGCTGCAAGAACTCTTCGCAAGGCGGGTGCGCGAGGATGGTGCCACCACTCCCGAAACGGACTCTGCGCTGAAACGGAACCTACGATGGAAATTGCAGTCGCTGGCCAGGACCAGGAGGGCGCCGATGCGAGATAATACTCGCTCGTGACTGAAAAGCAATCGTCAGTTGCCGCGTCGGTGTATCAATTACGACTTTCTACCCGAGGTATAAAAACACAGTCCCAAGAGCAGGAGATAGGTACTTACTCCGTTGCACCACTAACTAGAGAGCATAATTTCCTTCAAACGTGAGCCCTGAAATGCATGGAGTTGTGTTGACGACAGGGCTTATCCCAAAATAAAGTTACGTCCTTTTATCAGCAGAGAGACCACTCAACGTGTATGCCGTTTGCCTGCCACGGCGCACCTAGTAATTGGCGCGTGGGCAAGACCTATTCTCGTTCTAATCAAAAAAACTTAAATAGATTGTACCGATTTGTGATTTCTTCATCAAGGAGGGCCTGCGGATTAATTTGGTCGCTACGCGGCCCTACCTTCGCTGGACGCTACGCGTCCTAGGTCGCATTTCTGATTCGGAGATGGAAACTTGGGTTGTAATGGGGTCCACTGTACATACAAGATGTAGACAACTGAGAAGATTTTTCAAAGTTAAAATGAACGAAATAGTCTTAAGGACGAGAAGGACTTTGTCCACATGTATCGGACTTTGCATGCTCTGAAACGGACCTTTTTAAAGTAAAAGGAACTTAAGACCTATGAGACTATGTGCACGACAGGATCCATGCATTGTCGGATCCAGCAAATTGGCAATATTGTATTTTCTCCATTTAAACCTATGGCAATGTATCGGTTCTTGGAGGGGCCGGGTAATCCAACAAAAATCGATTATTTATCATAGGTTTAAATGGAAGAAAGCCGGTGTTGCCAAATTGCTAGATGCGCTTCTGGATCCATGCCACAATAGAGATAGTTCCTGCTGATTTAGGTACATCAAAATGCACAATTTGCGTGATCCCTTTATCTAGTTTTTTCCAATATACTGCATCCACTGGTACATTTTCTTAGTCATCAGCGCAACCCTCCTTTGCCTATTTAAACGTCAAATCCTGCAAATAGTTGTCAGTTTCTCGTACGTCTGATATAAATGGTTTAAAATTATTTGTTGCCTGCATAATAATGAAAAAATGAACAAATCGACGGTGTAAGTCGGCAATCACATAACTCGGTTTGCGACGTCGCAGACTTCCTGGCATATTTTATTTTCTAAACGGAAAACTTCTCAACCTTAAAACTGTCGTAATTTTTCTTCTCTGTGCGTAGAAAATTCTGCAAAAACTTCAAGGAATGATGTCAATGGACCACTAGACAAGGTACGCATTTCAGCATTCTGATACATGTTTCTTGACTAAAATTTCACGTAAAACACGATACGCACAACGAAAATTACCGAAATAAACTCCTTACGAAGATATTTAACGATTCCTGATGCGTGAATTCAAACCACCCGCTCATGAAAACTCAATGCCTTACGTGATTCACATCGCGCGCTAAACGTTATCATGGCAGTCTCTTGCAGTATACAAATCTGGCAACCTCAATCTTGATGCTTTAGCTCAGCTATAGCAAATTGCTTATAGTTTGAACAACACATGGAAGGAAATGAACATTGCTCGATTGAGAGGCTTGCTGAAACCGTTGTAGTGCTCGATTTCACTCACGTATAGAGCTTTGAGTTTCTCGTGAGCGGGCAGTTCAAAATCCGCGTGACCAATGTGAAATAAGAAGGTAAATATCTTCGTTAGGAGTTGGTTTCAGTAATTTTCGTTGCGCGAATCGTGTTCTACGTGAAATTCTGCTTAAGAAACATGTATCAGAATGCTTGAATTCGTGCCTTGTCTAGTGGTCCATTTTGGCGGAGATTTTCGGACACCGCAAACGAGATATGTGATGGTGGACTTACGCCGTCGAAATGCTTGAGAAGGATTGATATCATCACACGTGAGAATGACGTCATGAGAGTTCGCCGTATGAGATCGTCCACGGGAGAAGGACCTTATTTTCGGTGAGACACCCATAATACATATATGTCACATTATGGCACTCTTGGGTGCAAAAGCTACTTGCCGAGCTCAGTAAAAATTTTCGGAATTGAAATAATGGGAGATTCATTTTTGGAGCGTTCGTTAGAAGGATGAGCTAATGCCCAAAAAAATAATTGCAAAGATGATCAAATGGCCCTCGCGACACTTGTCAGCACATCTTGCAAATCATTGACTCATTCCACCCTCCGCATGATCTCACCTCTACCCATAGAATTTGCAAATTTAAAAAAAAAAAAAAAAAAAAAGAAGGTCGAATCTTCTGTAGATCTTGAGAGCCGCACATTTTTTTTAGTAAAAAGGCGGTGATGGTTCTTTGTGTGGCTCGTCTCCATAGGAGAAACCATGTATTGTTTGTATACTAATTGAGGGGAATTTACAGCTTGCCTCAAAATAACATCATAAAAAGGACCATTTCAACAAATATCGAGGAAAATTAAATAGTAAAACTTTGCAAATTGACTCAAGGGATGCAAGAGATCGCAATGATTAGCAATATGGGGTTACACAGCTACACGAGCGTTTAGGAAAAATAGCGATAAAATTTACGGCTAGTTCAATTCAGTGCCTTTCACAACTCGTTCTTTTCCCAAAATGTGACTTGGACCGTTTTTAATAATATATCATAAACTTGATCCATACTGGAATGGAACTATTTGGTCAGAGACTTAAACGAGGGATTAGAAAAAATGGCGAAAATATTTACGGCCAGCTGAAGTCAAAACCGCACCTCCAACTCATTTTTTTTTCCGAAATGCGCCTTGAAGCGTATTTATTATACTTGGTCCCCTACTCAATTTGAATTATCGCCAGAGACTTAAACAAGCGGTTAGGAAAAATAGCTGACCAACTACTGTCGACGGACTGTTAATTCCATGTAACTTCATCAACAGACCTCCAGTATAATAAATGCACTGCTCAAAATTCTCCAATTCCTCCGACGCGCATGATGCTCAGCTGATCGGGAACGGAGTTTAGTACTGTCCTCGAGTAAAACATTGATTTACAAACATAAATGATGAACCAAACTAGGATTATGGCTAATTAAAATTTGTAGTCCAAGAACGTATTTTTTAAGTGAGAGCTACTTTTGAAAGCTCAGCGGGCGGATTGTTGAAATTGATAGACAAAGCTTTAGACAAATAGGACAAAAGGTATATGGAGGGAACATATTGGTGGAAGCGGGTGGTTGCGATGGACAAAAAGATAGATAATTGACTAACTAATGACAACCCAAGAGAGACCCTAAAGTTAGTCCATCATTTTCTTCCCTAGTCAATAGGAACCAACCTTTCCAACCAATAGGATCGCTCTACACTCCCTTTATCCTCTGTGTCTATAGCTTTGTCTATCAACTTCAACAATCAGCCTGTAGGACATCATGTCTGGGGCCCAAACTATTTGTTTATGACGTTACTTTATCATCCCCTCTTTTTGTTCGAAAATAACTGAAATTTTTGGAAATTTTCTCATATTAAGGTAGGAAAGGTCTCATGGAAAAC